ATACCTTAATTAATGTTTATTCTTTTTTAGAAGCCACAGCCTGTTTGGCCTGATGAGCTTGCAATACAGCTACGGCCTCTTCAACCTTGGCTTTCAGCGATTCATTATGCTCCAACATGTGTAGAAGTTCTGAATTGTCGATTTCCAACAACATTCCTGTAATCTTTCCAGTAAGTTGTGGATACATACATTGAATCAATGGGAAAAGACGTTCTCCCAACATTTGTTTCTGCTCTTGTGGTGGAGCAGCTGCCAACATTGAGGCAGTTAGTGGTTCTTGGCCTTGAATATGAACAGCTTGCTGAACAGGAGTAGGAGCAGGGATTGCCATTGCTTGTGGTGGATTACGCATGTTTGAAGTGTATTTATAATTTGACGGACGGCTTTGAGCTGAAACTCCCACTGCTGGACCAGCCATGGAACGATTTTGCATATTTGCACCACCAACCGCTTGTTGACCTAAATTAAAATTATAAATTACATAAATTAGAAAAATTATAAAAATTCTTATCTATAAAATTTAAATATAAAAAAATTGCATAAAAGTTCAATATTTATTACCTGTGATAGGTCTGGCAGATAAAGTATTTCGCATAGTACCAGCTTGTGCAGTGGGAGCACGTGGTGCAGCTCTAAATGGACCTTGCATTGTAGCAAAACCAGAACTTCCAGTTTGTGCATTGGGTCGTACTTGATTAGGCTGCGCTGGCCAACGTGGAGTTGTACGAATTTGGGCCATCTGTGCAGGTCCATAAAATCTTTGTGGTTGAGGAATAGTGGGAACAAAATAATTTCCAGCACCGCCAGGCTGGAAAATTTGACCCATTTGTTGCATTCGCATATTTGCTAAACGTTGCATATATTGGGAAGCAAGATGTGCTTTGCGATCTTCTTTACGCTGAGCCAGAGCAACATATAATGGTTTAGTAACTATTATGCGACCGTTCATCTCTGTTACAGCTTTAGTAGCTTCTTCAGGAGCGGAAAAACAGACAAATCCAAAGCCTTTGCTGCGTCCTTCTTCCATCATAACTTTAGCAGAGGTAATTGTTCCAAATGGTGCAAATTCTTTGCGTAACCGCTCGTCATCTATACTATCATCCAAGTTCTTTACATATAAATTTACACCTTGATAACGATTTAAACGTTCTAATTTTAATTGTTCGAACTTTCTCTTAAGTTCTTGTTGACGTTCTGCTTTCTTTTGCGCCCGTCCAACATACATACACTTTCCTTCAGCAACCTCTTTTCCATTTAATTCAAGTACTGCTTGTTCAGCAGCGTCAGGATCTTCAAAAGCAACAAAACCAAAACCTCGAGATTTCCCGTCATCTTTAATCATTACTTTATGACTGGTGATGGTCCCATATTTTTCAAACATTTCTTTAAGTTTATCATCCGTCATATCTTCTCCAAAATTCTTTACATAAACATTAGTGAAAAGCTTAGCTTTTTCTCCCAATTCCTTCTCGCGTTCTTTACGAGGTATAAATTTGCCAACATATACCTTTTTTCCATTTAGTAACATGCCATTAACTCTATCAATAGATTTATTTGCTGCTTCTTCAGTTTCAAAATGAACAAAACCATAACCTTTAGAAACACCAGATTCATCTTGAGCTACTTTGCAACTAAGTATGTTACCAAATGCAGAGAACGTATCATACATTGCTTTATTGTCTATGTTTTTATCTAAATTTTTTATAAATACATTTCCAACACCAGATTTTCGAAGAGAAGGATCACGTTGAGACCACATGATACGAATAGGCCGCCCCTTTATCATATCAAAGTTCATGGTATCAAGAGCACGTTCCGCTACAACAAAAAAAGAAATGCAAACAATTATATTATTATATTATTATAATTTAAAAAAATATAATTTTCGTAAATATTTCTATTAAATTTAATTATTTTTTCTTAGTTTATTTAGTATATAATATATATCATTATTTTAAAAAATATATTCAATATAAATTATAGATTTCAAAATATTTCCAATTATCTTATATATATTCTAAATGATTCATAAATAAAGTTACATTACATGAATAATAATTTGAAAAATATATCAATAATGTGAACATATTGAAGAACTAAAATACGTCGATAGAATCATGTGGTATTTTCCTTTTTTCTTTTTATTTTTTATTCAAGTTATAATTGTATATGTATACAATGAATATGTTGTATATTAAAATTTTTTACTTTTTAGAATATAACAAATTCATATCAAGCTGTTCGATATCACCTGGAAAATGAAAAAGAAAGTAATAAAAAAATAAGGCATGACTCAACCAACCGTCAATTGCTATCTACTTTGTTCGAAATAGGTTTCAATATGGTGGTATCGTATGATCCGAAACACGTGTCAAGCACGGACAAATGATGTAACAAACAGTAATTTTTTTTTAATCTAAAATATCTGACTCAAAAAGAAATAATGAAATATAGAATCATTATACTCACCATCAGCCGGTTGCTGGAAGTTAACATAAGCATACCCGAGCGAACGTCGGGTAATCATATCACGACAGACGCGTATCGAGAGTACAGGCCCAGCTGATGAAAACTTCTCGAAAAGCATCGCCTCGGTGATATCACTATGCAAGTCACCCACATAAAGTGAGGCCATAGGGTAATTCGGAGCTCCCGGATTCATTGTAATAAGTTCAAAATTCTCTGGTTTTTGGTTTCTCTCGTTCCTTCAATATGGCTTGCGCTCTTCCGACCACGTTGCTCTTTGTAACACAATGATTACTATTTTTTTCCACACTTTACTTACGTTTCGCGGTTTTCAGCTACGGTTTTTCGATTTTTTTGTTTATATTTTTATAATTTTTATATTTTTTTTGGTTTTTTTTTTTATAGAAGAGTTATTTCACGAATGGAGGTGGGTTGTGTGACCTATTTTGTGGAAAAAGGAGACACAACCACACGTGAACACAACTCTACTCTTAATGAGGAAGAGGCATTGAAAGTAGTTCCCTCCGTGCTTATATACTAACCACTGTACACACTACACGCCAGAAAAGTAGTTCCTTTTATAAATTACAGCGCCATCTATTTAAATCTAGGGTACTTTAAATAGTTCTATATAATAAAATATGCATTTTATTTTGATAAATCAGTTATAATATAATACAATTTTTAGTACAGAAATATCAATTTTGTAAATATTTTTAAATATATTAAATATTTCTCATTTTATTTTAAATATAAAATCTGAATAGTGATAAATAAATATCGCACTTTATATAGTTTATAATTATACGTTTATTTAATTATAAGAAATTTATAATAATAATTTATTATAATAATAATTTCTTTAAAACATTATAATTTATATAACTGCAAAAATATAAAATAATTTATGAATTACATTAAAACTAGCTATTATATATCATATTAGGGATTTATTAAGATAACGTAGGTATTGGTGCAGTAAGATATCTTAAACTTTATTAAGTCAAAGGTAGAAAAAGTACCAAAAGTAGTATTTTCGAACAAGTACGAGTAATTTAATTACATAAAGAACGTAGAATGACAACTTACTTAATAAATTATTTATTACGTAAATTTCGTAAGTAAATTTTTAATTTATAAAATTCCATAAATAATATTCTTATATAATCATATATATTATATGTAATATGTTATAACATATATATGAATATATATATATATTAAATATTGTATTTTTATAGCAAATTTACAAAAATGGGCATATGAAGCTGCAGGATTTAATCAATATGGTATAAAATATTTATATGTATTAATATAATAATTATTATATGTTCTCAAATTCAAATTTCATTATTCTATGATATAAAGTACAATATATTTTAAACATAAATTTAGTAAATCTTACTTTCAATATTCTAATTCTTATAATTTTATATAAATTTAAAGGTTTACATCGAGATGATATTCTTCATGAAACTGAAGAAGTACGAGAAGCATTAAAGCGAGTACCACCTCATATAGTAGAAGAACGTGATTTTCGAATTATTAGAGCTATGCAATTAGATTGTCAAAAAAAAATTTTACCAAAAGAACAGTGGACTAAATTTGAAGATGTAATTTAATACAAATTATTTAGAATTTAATTTTTATATACTTTTATATGATTCTTTACATTTAATTTTAATACATTTATTTTTTAATTTAAAATATTAATATCTAATTTTTATTATTAAATAGGATATTCTTTATCTAACACCCATTATAGAGGAAATTAGAAAGGAACGTGAAGAAAAAGAAAGATGGAACGCAGAATAATATAATAATATAATAACATAATAGTGAATGTCACATTCATTTTACATTTAAATTGTAAGTTCAAAATGTAGTAATTTGTATATATAAAATATAAATATTAAATAAATTAATTTGTTCAATTAACTTCTATTATTTCAAATACAATAGTTATAATATAAAAAAAATATATTTGAATTAAAATAATTATAATCACAAAAAATAATTTAACATAATTGAATAATTTTTTATAAACATTATATGTTAAATTATTAATAAATATTAAAAACTAAATAAATTATTGTGCATTTATTTATGTTTATTATATGTATATTGTATACATTACAATTTATTTTATATTTCTTTAATTATCTTTTATTTGCATTAAATATATCTTTTATTATATCATAAATATCAATTATTTAAGTTATATAATTATTAATAATAATATAATTATATAATTAGTTATATAATTGTTAATAATGTTTAATTGTGATTAATATTTTGAAATTTGGATATTTTTATTCCCAATAATATGTATAGAAAAAAATGATTATTAATAATTATGTTTATATCAATTGATACATTTAACATCTTTTATACAATGATTCATTCATTATTCTTTTTAAATTTGCTTTGTACAGTTAATGCGTAATACACTGTTAATAAACGCAATAATAATAAATATAAATCCTTATAATTCCAGAATATAAAGATAGAATCAATTGTTCATCATTTATATATAAAAGATTTGATGTAATAAATAATTTTTGCGATTATTTATAAGAGTTTCGCGGGCAAATGGCGGATCAATATTTCACCCCCACGCGGATCTGAGCGGCATCCCCAATTACCAAAGATTTATACAAAGTAATTTGAGTTTTGTGAGTAAAAAATATATTTTAATTTTTTCCTTTTTTTCTTAATAAATTTAAATATTTTTTTTATATTTTTTGAGCATATAATATATATTGAGTTTTTAAAAGGAAAGTTTTAAAATGCCTAAAAGCCTACATGGAAGATCGTATAAAGAATGAAACAAATAGTGATAATTGAGAAATACAACATAAAATATTGTTGTATATAATAAAAAAGTTAAAACTTTAATTATTCTAAACAATTATTTTTTTTTTATTCATACATTTTATAAAAATAATACATTGTCTTCAAATTTTGCTTGTACTCGTATCTATATCTCTTTTGTAACGGATTGAATTTTCATTTTCAATCGTACGTATAAGAAGAAAAAGAATAATGTTCGTTTAAGTTAATTTTATTAGAATTGTGTATTTTAATCGAAATATCAAGTGTTACTACGCGAAAGGAGAAAAGATAACAACATCACCCTTTCGAAATCAAACGTGAGAAAATTGATAAATTATTTTAGCATAACACTTAAATTTTCTTTATGGATATTGAAATACTTCGTTGTTTAGACATCATTTTAATATAATTATAATGTGTATACGAAGGTAATTAAATATCAAAAAAATATTTGCATTATTCTTAAGAATTTTTATATTTTATATGGCGAATTTAAAGAATCCATATATATTGCATCAAATATTTGGTTAATTGCAGATGCCGGAAAAACAGCAATCAGTGTACTTTCAAAGAAGAAAATCGTTGATATTGAATTTTCATAAAATTGATTATAATATTTTATATTTAATACAAAATAAAACATTTAGCAAGTTTACACAATAACTTGATGCTATTAAGCATTCTAATTATATGTTATTGTATGAAAAAAACAATGCTACATATATCAGGTGCTGCGCCAAAATACTACCTCTGCTGTGTGTACAAAGTTATAAAATTGATTGTTTTAGAAGTAAAATAAAAATATTAGACATATATATGTAAAAATATATATATATATACATCTAATATATACATATATAAAAATTTAAATATAAATGGAGAAATATATTCTGATTTATAAGTATTTATATATGACTATATAGCAAATGAAACTAGAAATTCTTCCCTAATCTATGTTCTCTGATTTGATAATTATAATCTACAAACAATATGACAAGAGAACACTTTATAATGATATTACTCTACTGACAAATGTATAAAAATAAAAAAAAAATCTATATATTAATAGCTCAAAGAAAATAGTTATTAGGTAAATAAAAATGAGCATACCATATGATGAAAACTTGGTATGGATAGTAGTGGTTGGATTCTTAGTGGCCTTTATTTTGGCATTTGGAATCGGAGCAAATGATGTCGCAAATAGTTTTGGAACAAGTGTTGGTGCAGGAGTACTTACGATATTTCAAGCTTGTATTTTAGCAACTATCTTTGAAATTGCTGGGGCTGTACTCATTGGCTATAAGGTATTTTAAAAATTTATATATTTTATAAACTTTATTTCATAATATATATTATAATATTATTCAAGATATATCAATTGATACTTGCTTTAGGTTTCTGATACTATGAGGAAAGGCATATTAGATGTGACATTATATGAAGGCCAAGAAAAAGAATTAATGGTAGGAGCATTATCTAGTTTAGCTGGATCTGGTATCTGGTTAATACTAGCAACTGCTTTGCGATTACCTATTTCTGGAACACATTCCATTGTTGGTGCTACAGTTGGTTTTTCACTTGTCTGTAAAGGTACTGCAGGGGTTAGTAAAATTACTGTATTAATTTTAAAATAAATAAAGAATATTTCATAATAAGTATGTTTATAGGTCAAATGGATAGCTCTTGCAAATATAGCAGCTTCTTGGTTTGCAAGTCCTGTACTTAGTGGAATTGTATCAGGTGCTATATTTTGGGTTCTAAGAAAATCAGTATTTGAATCTAATAAACCTTTAGAACAAGGTCTTTATATTCTCCCATTAGCATATGGACTCACTGTTGCTATTAATATTATGTCAGTAGTACATGATGGACCTAAACGTAAATAAATTTTATATTTGTATTTTAATAAATTAACATTATTTATTTAAATCAAATATTATTTTATTTTTATCTGTTTCAGTTTTGATGTTAGATCAAGTGCCATGGTGGGGTAGTTTACTTGCTGCATTAGGTTTTGGTTCATTTTCAGCTATCATTGTTTATTTATTTGTTGTACCATGGCAAAGAAAAACAATATTACTTTCATTAAGTAGCAACGAAAAAACAACAACTAAATTTGGTACCTGTGATAAAAAAGAAACAACAGCATTATCTGTTATTTCTGAAGCCCCATGTAGTAGTAGTAGTAATGGTAATGCAAAAGAAGTAGCGCCAAAATTACGAGGCAATAGCAGTGCAAGTCCTCTCTTAATGGTAGCAGGATCAGATACTGAGGGTGCTCAAATTGAAACTGAAAAGAAAAACGAAGAACCACCAGAAATATCTAAACTTTTTGCATTTTTGCAAGTATTAACTGCAGCATTTGGCAGTTTTGCTCATGGTGGTAATGATGTCAGCAATGCAATTGGTCCACTTATTGCACTTTGGGCTGTATATGCAGAAGGATCAGCTAGACAAGAAGCAGAAACTCCATTGCTTATATTACTTTATGGTGGTTTAGGCATATCAACTGGTCTTTGGGTGTGGGGACGCAGGGTGATACAAACTTTAGGACAAGATTTAGCACGTATTACACCAACTACTGGATTTACTATAGAGGTCATATATATTTTATAATTATAATAATAAAACAAAATAATATTTATTTTGATTAATTATTATTAATTACACATGAATTATAGCTAGGAGCAGCAGTAACAGTTTTGTTGGCAAGTAAGGCTGGTTTACCTGTGTCAACAACTCATTGCAAAGTCGGATCTGTTGTCTGTGTAGGATGGGCTTCACATGGTGGTGAGGGAGTTTCATGGAAATTATTTCGTAATATTGCATTTGCATGGTTAATTACTGTACCAGTGGCTGGCTGCTTGTCTGCAGGATGTATGGCTATTTTTAAGGAAATAATTAGTTTGTGACTCTTCATTATCAGAACAACTAATCCATTTTAGTGAAAACCATCCAATGCTACTGTTGTCAATAATTTATGCAAAAATAAACGATCAAATATAATTTGACTTAGTTATTCTTTATCTATAGTTATATTAAATATTTTATTATATACTTTTATAACAAAAAGTTACATGAAATAAAAATTAAAGTTGTTACATCAATATCAATTAGTGTTGTTATAGAAACCAAATCAAATTAGTAACTATACAATTTAATATTCTATAAAATTGTCTTTTGATACATATTTTATTAAACATTTTTGATATGGAAAACCTACCACTTTTACCAGGTTATAGATTTCAAGATCCAAGCGTAAGTCAGCAAAATACTTATAAATTAATTATTATAATTATTATATTAGAATGAAATTTAAGTGAAAACATATCTTTTTAAAGATCAAAGATTATAGATTATTACAAAAATTTCATTTTTTAAATGGTTATCGTGTAGTACGTGATAGAAACGCTGGAATTGGAGGAAGACCAATAGATGTTGCATCTAGTGCATATGTAAAAGAAGAAGATTCTGCACAGTAAGATAAATAAATATAAATGCAAAAATATAACTTTCATTTTTATAAAATTTAATCTTTAAAATATTTTTTAAATTTAATGTAAGTTTTAAACTTCCTTAATTAATAATATTAATTAATATTTAGTTATGATCCATCATTAACATATGGTCGCGTAAAACAATATGCATATGGACAATTTATTCCACATTATGTGCATTTTGCACAAAAATGTCTTTGCTTTAAAGCATTTTTTCGCCAAGGCGTATTTAACTCTCCAGACGAACATTTCCGTATACGTCATGTTAATATATTATATTATTTGGAAGATGATACTTTATGTATTATTGAACCGACAGTTAATAATGCTGGCTTTCAGCAAGGAAAACTTGTTAGACGCAATAAAATTGTAAAAAATGTAAATGGCGATACATTTCATTGGAAAGATTTTAATATTGGAATTGATATATGTAAGTTTAATAAATATCTTTACATGATGATATGTGCTTCCCACAAATATTGTTTATTAAAAAACAATAAAGACTCCCAAATTTTATTCAATTTATCTTATTAACTAAATAACAATATATTCATATTTGTTCTTTACAGATTTTTATATATTAACTGTTTATAATTAATTAATTTTTATTATTTGCAGGTATTTATGGTGTAGTTTATCACATTACTGATTGTGACTTATTTACTAGAGAATTTTTAAATAGTCAAGGAATAGACGTTGGAGATAAGGAAGAATCTCCTATAGATCCTTATATAGAATTAAGAAAAGATAAACAGAAAATATCAACATGTATTACAAAAATTCCTGATGATGTTAGACGGCGGTTTTTAGAATATGATAAAATGGTATTATTGTTTATTGCAACCTGGAATAATGATGTTTATCATATTACATATTTCTTGACGGACGATACGATAGCTGTTCGTGAAATACAGAAACCCAATAGCGGAAAAGATCCTGTACCAATGTTATTAAAAAGAATGAAAGTACCAAAAGATTGGAAAAATTTACCATTGTCGTATCCAGCTATATATATGGAATACGGCGATCCAGAAATTACCGAATATTATACACCAAAAGATTTTTTAGTCAGTTTATAAATAATTTTAAAAATATCAATATTCTTTTAATTATTTTTTCTACTTATAATTTTTTTTATTGCAGATAGGAAATACGATTTTTATATTTAATCGACGATTTCTTTTACATGATTGTGATTCTTTCACACGGAAATATTATTCAGATATGTTAGGAATAATACAACCAGAAAAAATTCCTTTTTCAAGAGAAGATGATGTTACGATCTTACCGGAATTTAAATCACCACCGCATATAATTTTCGGTACACCTGAAGATACTTACGCTTCTTGTTTATCATTTATACCAGAACGTCCTAAAAAAGATGTTATTCGACAACTTGTTAATTTTCCTAAAAAACTACGTTATTCTATGCAAATGGATGTGATACATCCAGAAGACAAAAATCGCGATTTCATTTTAGAATATAGTTTAAGTAATGGTACAATACTCATACAAGAACTTGAAAAACGTAATTCAGGACGTCGCGAAGGTTGTTTTCTCAGAGCTACACTGGTTCCAAAACCGAAAACTGGAAGAGATGATCCAGAATATTATACTCCTCAAGATTTTTATATTGGTGCAAAAATTAATATTTTTAATCATTATTTCATCATAACTGGTACTGATCTCTTTGTATATCGTTATATTGAAACAAATCCTGAAAAGTTTCCACTAGAAGTACGAAATAGCATTCGTAATTATTTAGTCAAACAGAATTTACTTTTTGATGATATAAAAGTAGAGACCAAAAAAATTCAAGATAAGGAGGATATGAAACTACAATCGATAAAACCGGCTGAAGTTAGTATTAAAAGAGATATTGATATGGAAGAATGTGTAGAACATTTTGAAGCTCAAACTAAGTGTAAATATGAAGGAGAACATGGTGAATTAAGACCACGTACACCACCACCAGAAGAACTTTGCCCAAATTTAGCAACAAAACCTACACAATTATCTCAACAATGTCCAAATATATTTACCGAAAATAAAATAAAAAAGCGAATAACATGGGATGATGAGGTGGAACAATAATATTCCTGTCAATAATTACGTTCAACATAATATTTTTAACGAATCTGCATACATTAATTTATCGCAACTGAAGATTTTTTTTAATTCAAATTTTTTAAACTATATTAATAAAATACAAGATAGATATTAATAAAATACAAGATAATTATGAAAAATAAATATCGTATATATATATTACGTTGAATATAATTATTTATTATTTTTTATTATGTTTTGACTACAAAATCAAAACTAAATTGAATAAATCATATTTTTTAGAAAATTCATTTATACATGGTATAGTTCATGTGAATATTAAAATTCATAGTTCAATTCAACATTTAATCAAATACGATCATACAACGTAAATACTAGTAAATACTAAACAATATGATACATTATCAAATATACTATTTGTATGTCTGCATATTATAATGTAATAATAATATACAGATATGCAGTTTGTATACATATGCATATGATGCACATGTTTGTATGCATATGATTTATTAATAAAATAAAATATTATTAGTAAAATAAAAATAAAGTTTAGATAAATCTTTGGAATCTAAACAAAATTTTAAAATATTGAAAAAGAAATTATTTTTAATATTAAATTTAAATTTTTCATAAAATAATTTTTAGCAAATTATTTAATAAAATTTTTTAAATATTGCTTGACTGTAAAATACGAAAATTTAATATAGTTTAGTTTACATTTAATTATTTCTAGTTATTCAAATATTAATATCTATGAGTAACTTATTCCATTTTAAATAAACTGAAATAATTCAAAAACATTGGCTAAAAAATTTTAACATTGATACATTAATTTAATAAAATAATTTACTTCTGAAATAATAAAATGTATTTAGTTCTGAAATATTCACAATATAGAAATAAAAAAAATTTTTCTCGTACGTTATTCTCTTTTTTGTTACTAATTGTATTTGTTATTGTACTTGTTATTAATTGTATATGCAAAATTAATTATTTAAGTAATATTACGAAATTATAATAATATAATTCTTTTATAAATTTTGTACGATTTTTTGAAAAAATAAGATTAAATGAAAATTTTATATTACTATTTTATGATTACCTTGTATAAAATCTTATCATTTATAACATGCTTTTAATTTGCGCAATGAAATATAATTCTTATAAAATTTAAAAAACAAATTTCATTATTTTTCTGTTTTTTTTTATCATTTTCTACAAATTAATTTCTACGTATAATTATATGTAAATGTATACATAATTATTAATAAAGTAATCAAATCTAGAATAAAATTTATTATTTCATGTATTTTAGATTACTAAATCCATATTATTTAAGCAGTTTTTTATATTAATGTTTAATTTTCTATATATAATTTGTGAAAAATGGTTTAAATTTTTTTCTAATATTACTACTAAAGGATCTTTTTTCTAATGGGCATGAAAAAGTGTACATTTTTTTTTCAAATATACAAAAACACAAAATTTCTATTTCAATAAAAACAACTTGAATTTATAAAATAATGAAATCATGACAAAAATGTATCAAACATTAAAATAAAATAAAGTAACAGTCAATTTTAACAATAAGAATCTTATGAAATTTTCATAAAATAATACAATAATGATCATTATTGTATATGTTACTATTATAGAATAACTATAATATTTTTTTTGTCATATAATATTTTAGATCATTTTTGCAGTCCATGAATAATATAATGATATAATATAATATAATAGGTAATATATATATTATATATTAATATATTATATATATATTTATATACATTATATATATTCATTATATATAATATATATAATTAATATATGTAATATATATAATATAATATATATTTATAATAATATATATATTATATATATAATTTGCAATATAGAGATATAGAATATGCATAAAATAATCAGTTGACAATAATTTCTATTATTATCCAATGATCAAGCATAATTGTTACACATAAACTTAAAACGTCGTAATAAGCCCTTGCACCTTTATAACAAAGAAAGGTGAGCTCTTTCAGCCACAGGCACCAGGTTATATGTCCATCAAAGTTTAAAATGGTAATTGATTTAAATGACACTTGCTTATAATATTGTTCTCGCATAGATTTTTCATTATCAACAAAAGTTTAAGCATTTTACAAGGATTAGTCCACATATTACAGTTTTTTCTTCTGTTCCATATTTCTTTTTTTCTTTCATTTTTAATTTGTACGTTTAAGAAACACCTTTCGATGAATAGCACGCAACACCACACTGTATGCTTACAACTCAGCAAGGTTACCCAATATCCCTTGAAATTGAATTGCGTTCCTCTTCATAGTAGTTACGATTAGATAATATTCATGATGCCGACGCGACGCTAATTATCATACAAGTTGATTATTTAACAGAAGGAAATAGTCTCAATAATGAAAGTTTTG